GATCACTGTTTCATCCTAATTTTATAAAGGAGAATGCAGGCTCAGAGAAGTTAAGCAGCTAAATAAAGATCACATAGCTAAAAAAAAAATGTATCAAAACTGGAATTTGCTGGCGCAATGGCACACATCTGTAACACCTTGGGAGACTGAGGCAGGAGGATCATGAGTTCAAACCCAGCCTCAGCAACTTAGTGAGGGCCTAAGCAACTCAGTAAGACCCTGTCTCTAAATAAAAAATACAAAAAGGTGCTGGGGATGTGGCTCAGTGGTTAAGTGCCCTTGGGTTCAAGTCCCAGTACCAAATAAAATAAAGTAAAATAAAATATAAAAAATAAAAGGGCTGGGTTTGTAGCCCAGTGGTAGAGCACTCCTGGGTTCAAACACCACTACCACCAAAACAAACAAACCAACAAACAAAACACATACACACACATAAAACAAAGGGATGGAGATGTGGCTCAGTGGATAAGTGCCCTGGTTAGAATTTGAATGTGTGTGTGTGTGTGTGTGTGTATATATATATATATAAACTCTCGATCCATATACATAAGGCACATCTAGACTCACTTATAAGGGCTAAAAGAAAAAAGTGATGGCTAGTTGAATTATTTGGGAGATCTAATATACGATGTTATAATGATTTTAAAGTATGAATTAAATCTCAAAAATGGGCTGGGGATGTGGCTCAAGCTGTAACGCGCTCGCCTGGCATGCATGGGGCGCTGGGTTCGATCCTCAGCACCACATAAAATAAAGATGTTGTGTTCACCGAAAACTGAAAAATAAAATATTAAAAAAACTCACTCTCTCTCTCTTTAAAAAAAAAAACCCTCAAAATTTATGCCTATTTTAGGGTGGTCAACTATTATAGGGTCCCAGATGAATCTAAGAAAGATAGTAAAGCTTTTGGCTACAGCAAAAAATTTTGGAACAATGCTCAAGTTGTAAACCTGATTTTGCAGCTTACTATCTGTATCATCTTGGGCAGGTTTCTTAATCTTTAACATCTAAGCTTATCTACAGAGTGTAAACAATATCTACTTCATAGTGCTACTATAAGGACCAAATGAGATGATGTATATGAAGCAGTTAACACTATCTCCGGAACAGGGTAAGTACTTGGTAAATAATACCTGTTATTAATTGCTATTATTAGCTCAACATGATCAGTAATTTAACAAATAAACATCACTGGTTACACATTGGCAAATACATTAAATTCCTGTAAAAACACTTCACTATGCTTGCCTGCAAATTTGCGACCATTAGTATTATTTTTAAAATATGAAAGACATTATATACGATGCATCAGACACAGACTTGCAAACTTTTACTTTCTCCCTCAGAGCCCTGTTTTAGAAATAAGAAAGCACCTATAAATTGAAGGTACCATTCAAGCAGTCTCAGAGCATTTGAACTAGACATTTTAAGGGAACAAAAACTTAAAGTATACTGTCAAAAAGATCGCAAAGACCAGATATATAAGAACATATGCATATAATATTTTGCTAAGTTGTTGAGGCTGTCTTTGAACTCAAAATCTTCCTGCCTCAGCCTCCCAAGTGGCTGAGACTACAGGCATGCGCCACCTGGCTTATAATGAAATCTGTATAGTAATTTTTATAACACAAGTGGTATAAGAAGATCCGACCTGAGTCCTATCTAAGGCGTTCCAGTTATTAATGTATCAAGTGAGGTAGTACCAAAGTGATTCCACTGAGTGAACCCTGGATGACATTAAAGTCACTATAACTAAAACAGTTGAGGAAATATTTGAATGAAGTAGCTAAAGCCAGAGAGAATTAGGGAAGGCTGAATGGAAGAATTAGTTCCACCTATAAGTTTTTTGTTCTTTCTTGTGGTACTGGGATTGAACCCAGGGATGCTCTACCATTGAGCTACATCCTTAGTCCTTTTTATTTTTTGAGACAGGGTCTCTCTGAATTTCTCAGGCTGGCCTTGAACTTGTGATCCTCCTGCCTCGGCCTGCTGTGTAGCTGTAATGACAGGTGCACACCACCACACCCAGTTTTTATTACCAGCTTTCCAATGATATGGGGGGGTGAGTTGTCACACATGGCACATGGGGCAGGAAGACTACTACTGCACCATCAATCTTTACAAAGATGTGTTCCTGAGATGGACTTCGGGAATGGCAGAGTGAGGATGTCAGTGAACTTGCTTTCCCATTAAAAACAGTTCTGAGCAGGCAAAGGAGAGAATAAGTGAATGTGAAAATAGGTCAATAGACATTATCCAGTTTGAGTCTGCTTATCCAGTACAGAAAGGGAAAAGAATGAAGAAAAATGAACAGAGTTTCAGAGACCCATAGGACACCATCCATTGTAATGGCATACATGGAATACCAAAAAAGAGGACAAGGGGGCAGGAATACTTAAATAACAACCCTAAGCAACTCAAAGTTGATGAAAAACATTAATTTGCACAATGAACTCTAGTTGAAACTCAACAAACCCCAAGTAGAATAAAGTCAAAGAGATCTATACCTAGATACATGAAAGTCAAACTGACCAAAGTTAAAGAGAAGATGTTCAAAGCAGTAAGAGGAAAAAAACTTAACCCTGTGAGATCTTCAATACAAAGAATGGCTGATATGGCATCAGAAAACCATGGACATAAAAAAACAAATATAATGACATCTTCAAAGTGTTCAAAAGGAAAAGACTGTTAGCTAAAATTACTCTTTCAAAAGGAAAAAGACTGTTAGAAAAAAAAGAAAAAGACTGTCGGAAAAAACTCTCCTTCAAAAATGATGGAGAAATTAAGACATTCCTAGATTAAAAAAACAAAGAGAGACTGGGGTTGTGGCTCAGTGGTACAGCACTTGCCTTGCATGCATGAGGCACTGGGTTCGATCCTCAGCACCACATAAAAATAAATAAAACAAAGATATGTGTCCATCTACAACTAAAAAATATTAAAAAACAAAAATACCCCAAAGAGAATTTGTCACTATCAGATCTGCCCTTTAAGAAATACTAAAGGAATTTCTTTATGAAAAGGACACTATATGGTATTTTAAATCCATAGAGAGAAATAAAGAGCATGTGTAAAGATAACAATAAAAGTAAATATTAAAGATAATACATGTATTTTAATTTGTAACTTTTATTTTCTTCCTTAACAAAGCAGTAACATTAAGCAATTAATTATAAGTCTGTGTTGATGAACATGTAAGTGTAAAGATGTGATTTTTTTTATGACAATAATACCACAAAGAAAGGGGGAGTAATTGAAAGTATATTGGACCAAAATTCGTTTATTACTGAAATTAAGTAATAAACCAAACTAGATTGTTTTAAAATGCTAACTGGAATCCCCAGGAAAACCACTATGAAAATAACTTCAAAAAAATAAAATAAAATAAAAAAGAGAAAGAAACAAGGGAATTAAAATGATACTCAAGAAAATACCCATTCAATACAAAAGAAGACAGTAATAGTGAAGCAGAAAAACACAAAAACAAAATACATAAAACCTAGAAAAAAATGGCAGATGTAAATTCTCCCTTATTAGTAATTACATTAAATACAAATAGATGAAACACTCCAATCAAAAGATATTATATAAAATGTTTAAAAAACATGTTTCAACTATATGGTATTTATAAAAGACATGCTTTAAAGAAATACATACGTTGAAAGTAAAAGGATGGAAAATACGTACTATGCAAACAGTAACCAGAAGAGAAATGGAGTGGCTATACTAATATCAGAGGACATAGAAATTGTTGTTAGAGACAAAAGACATTTTATTATGATAAGGGTAATCTATGAGGATGTAACAATTATATATATACATGTACCTATCATCTAAGTCCCCACAATATCTAAAGTGAAAACAGAAATGCAGAGAGAAATAGATAACTGAACAATAATAGTTGGAGACTTATATATCTCACTTTCAATGGACATAATAGGAGAGATGATCAACAAGGTACCAGAAGACTTGAACCACACCATAAACAAATCAGGCTTATCAGACTCTACCAAAGATTCCTCCCAATAATATAACATATAATCTTCTCAATGGGCACACATGAAACATTCTCCAGAATAGACTGTATACTAGGCCATAAAATTATTTAAAAGAACTCAAATCATACAAGGAATATTCTCTAAACAATGAAATAAAATCAATAACATAACAAAATTTGGGGAATTCATAAACAGATAGAAATTAAGCAACCTATTCCTAAATGATTAATGATCAAAAAAGAAAACATATGGGAAATTAGAAAATATTTTTAGGTAAGTGAAAACAAAATACAACATATCAAAACTTATGGGAAACAAACATTCAAACAAGAATGTGTAATAGCTCCAGTCACAATAGCTAAAAGGTGGAAATAAATATCAAACAACTAATAAATAAAAATGTAGTAGTAGCCATACAATGGAATATTATTCAGCCACAAAAATGAGTACATTCCTACAAAAGGAATGAATCTTCAAAATATATGGTAAGTCCACAAAGTCCACAGGTTATAATCTCATTTACATAAAATACACAAAACAGGTATAGAGACCGAAAACAAATTAGTAGTTGTGAGAGCCTATGAAGATGGGGGAATGGAGAATGACTGCTAATGATAAAGGGATTTCCTTTTAGGTTGATACAAAGTTCTGGAACTAGATAGTGGTGACGATTGCAGTATATAAAATGCCACTGAATTATATACTTAAAAAATTTTTTATACCTTAATTTAATTAATTAATTTACTTATATGTGGTGCTGAGGATAGAACCCAGGCGAGTCATCTACCGCTGAGCCACAACCCCAGCCCTTAAAAATGGTTTAAATAGTCAATTTTATGTGAACTATATTTTATCACAATAAAAAACATTTTGGGGAAAGAAAATAATGTTAAGAAAACATTTAAAAATTTTAAGTAGACACTCAGAATCTGAAAGAGAGAGCCATGATTTCAGCAGAATATCAAAATATTAACATTGTCAAGACATAATCATGTTCCATACTTGTATGTGAGGCCAAGAGGCCTCAAGTGTGGGTTCATCCTCTTCTGGATCAAAATCTGGATTATCACTTGGAGGAAGAGTACGGAAGATATTAGCACTGATCTGCAAAGAAAAATACATTTAGATTTATGTTCTTATTACATAATTGAATTCAACAATGCAAAATGGAATACTTTTTAAGACCCCTGATTTAAGAAAAAAGTTGTGTCTATAAATTTATTTCAAAAAATCTATAAATTTCAAGATATGAAGGAGGCAGGTGTTTCTCTTTTCTCTGCCCAATATCTGACTTCCTGAAGCTACTGAAGATTATGGATTACTTCTAGATTCCTCTTCCTTAAATATCACTTCTTTCCAAGTTTTGCTTAAAAAGAAAGGGGAAAGTAGGGCAAAATTACTAATCTTACCTATCTCTAACTTGATTCCTTAAATCTTTCCACATATCCTTGCATATTCTAATACAGTCATATTCAATACTTATAACATGTAAACAAGTTCAATAAAACATCTCTATTCTTATATGTACATGCCACACTAACGGACAGGTAAAAAGGCTTCATGGTTATTACAGACATAGCTTAGTGGAATATGATATGTCAAGAAATTTGTAATGTTTTGAACAACCCACAATAAAAAATTAAAAAAAAAATAACAACTCATCATTTAATTCATTGTATTTCCTCTACTCTGAGACTTTTTAAAAACATATGATCTGAAATCAGGATTTGCTTTGAGATTCTTCATTTTAGATTCAGTGAAACATAGTATTTACAATTTCATCGTTTGCTTCCTCTGTCTCCATACCAACATATTCTTTTTCTCCAGTGAAGGAGAGACCATGGTTCCAATCCCTAGTTCTTTTAAGAATGATGACGGACTGATAGGACTGACAAACCAAATAGTTTAGTAAACATTTAAGGACAATTATGGGGTTGGTCATTTGAGATAAACTATCTAGGGGACAGAGGTTAAGATAAGCAGCGTTTGATTTATGCAAGCAAGTTTCCAACTATTCTTCTTCTTTTTTTTAATGAAGTGGCATCCATGGTAGAGTAATACTTCTAATAGTTTTACTCTAAGACTTAACTAATAACTAAAATGAACCAACTTTAAAAAAGACTTAACTACACCTCATATTTGTCAGTAGTAAAAGTTAACCTTGCAGCCACCAATAAAAGTATCTGTACATAACAAATATTCAGAAGAGTTTTAAAGGACTAAGTGAGAAAAATGGCTCAACTCTTACCTAGAAATTAAGTACCCAGAAGTTACACAACAAAATGCACACACCTTTGCACTTTGGCAAAGAAATTAAATCCCAGAGTACATGTAGCAAATTACAGAATAGTCTGCAAGATTTTCAAAATTCCTGAATACAAACCTTTTGAAATCAATAATATTAAGAAATGATGTTTTTTTATTTTTGGTACTGGGGATTTAACCCAGGGGATTGCAATGAGCTACATCCACAGCCCATTTTATCCTTATTTTGAGACAGTGTCTTGCCAAATTGCTCAGGGTCTTGAACTTGTAATCCTCTTGCTTCGGCCTTCAGAGTTGCTGGAATTATGGGTGTGAGCCACCACGCCTGGATTTTTTTTTTTTTTTTATACCAGGGATTGAATCCAAGGGTGCTTAACCACTGAGCCATGTCCCAGCTCTTTTTATTATTTATTTTGAGACAGGGTCTTACCAGGTTGCTTAGGGCCTTGCTAAATTGCTGAGGCTGGCTTTTAACCTGCTACCTCCTGCCTCAGCCTCACAAATTACTGGGATTATAGGCCTGTGCCACCATGCCTAGCAAGAAATGAAGCTTTTTATCCTTGGAATTTTTAAATGATAAAACAAAAATCAAAATAGGAACTCCATTAATATTTAATGTTTACATCCTTAAACTGTTGCTCCCTTTTTACTGTCTGCCCAAGTTTAGGAAACCACTTTCATTTTGATTAACATTCTCTCTATAGCTAATCTTTATAGGTTACACTTGCTATTAACTTTTTAAAAAATTTGTTCTTTTTAGATATACATGACAGTAGAATGTATTTTGACATATTATATATACATGGAGTATAACTTATTCTAATTAGGATCCCATTCTTGTGGTTGAACATCATGTGGAATTACACTTGTCATGTATTCACATATGAACACAGGAAAGTTATGCCAGATTCATTCTACTTTTTCCTATTCCTATGCCCCCTTCCCTTCATTCCCCTTCCTCTAATCCAATGAACTTCTATTCTCCCCACCCCCACCTTTATTGTGTGTTAGCATCCACATATCAGAAAGAACATTTGGCCTTTGGTTTTTGAAACTGGATTATTTCTCAGCATGATAGTCTCTAGTTCCATCCATTAACTGGCAAATACCACAATTTCATTCCTCTTTATGGCTGAGTAATATTTCACTGTGTGTATATATATATATACACCACATTTTCTTTATCCATTCATCTGCTGAAGAGCACTTAGGCTGGTACTTGCCATTAAATTTTATACCATGGTATAAATTTAAATTGTGTACTTGGCAAATCTCTACTCCAGCTGAATTTTTTGTGTTTTATTAGAATATAATGAAATATGAAAATCACAAATCCCATGCAAATTTCTGTTTGGTGGATGAGGTTGAATTACCAATAAATAGTATCCTGAACACCATTACTTTAATAAAGGGGGTAATTTTCAGATCACATCAGACATTCTAAACATTTACTTGTATAGGCTGAGAATTCCTTATCCACAATGCCTAAGAGGTGTTTTGAATTCTGGATTATTTTGGATTTTTATTTATATATACATAATGACATATCTTGGGGATGGAATCCAGGTCTAAACACAAAACTCATTTAGGTCTTACATATGCCTTATAAACGTAGCCTGAAAGTAATGTTATATAATATTTCTAGTGCACCTGTGTTTTGACTTCAACTCATCAGTGAAGTCAGGTATGAAAATTTCCACTGTTGATTCATGTTAGTGCTCAAAAAGTATTGTACATCTTATTTTGGATTAAGGATGCTCAATAAGAAGCATTACTTAACTTCTCAAAGGACCCAAGTTTTAATTAAAGTGTTGTTGTCTACAAACACATTAAAATGTCCTAAATATCATTTCTTTTAAACCAAACCCCCTTACCCACTGCTTAAATATTTTGTTCCCCAAAGTTTTTAATTGGTCTTCTCCTTCCCCTTTATAAGTTCTCTCTCAGTGACTACTCACCCCCCATGACATCATCTATTATCAATTTATATGTACAATCTTGAGCCTACATTTTTTTTCCTAAGCTCAAGATTACACTATCCAAAATGGTAGCCACCAATAATTGTGGCTGCTGAGAGCCATAGCCAAGTAGGAATGACGCATGGCATTTTTGGTTGAAAGGTGACACCAGCAAGCCATTGAGATGATAATGATTATGTTAAGATGTGCATTCAATTGGAGATTAGACCCCTGCTGTCCACCTTGGCCTGCTACTTTGGAGCTCTCGCAGGACTCCCATTGGTTGGGGAAGTGCGGTAGGAGGGAATTCTGGAGGAGGGAATTCCGGAGGAGGGATTTCCTGTTGGTGTAGTGTGTCCCGGAAGAAGGCCGCATGCGTGGCATTCGCGGGAGTTTTGGAAATAAAGTTTGTTCCTGCTTGAGTGGCTCTTGATTTTGTGCCCAGCCAGACTGCGGCATGCGGCTACTAAATTCCCTAACTCCTAAGCAATGATAGCATCTGTTAAATGGATAGATAATCTTTCAAATGGACTAGTTTATGAAACATTCTTTTGGATGTATTAATTGCATACATTTATTAAAAATCAGTCTCCAATTCATAGTTATACCTCAGATCTTACTTTGAATTTATATCAATCTGAGGAACATAAGTCTAGAGGCTTACCATTTTTACTATATCAGAATACGCTGATTCAACAATTACACCACGATTAGTTGAAACATACTCAACCAGTTCATTCAGTGTTGCTCTTTTAATTTCTTTGCTCTTCAAGTCTGAAACAGAGTCCATGAAATCAAACAGTATACAACACTGCTGTAACTTCTGACAGAATAGCTCTTGTTGTTCATTTGAAGTGGCATCTATAAATAAAAATAAAGAAAAACTTAGAAATAACTTAAAAGTTACCTTATATAGTTATTAATTTTGTAGAAGTTATTTTCTTACATATTTAAAACTCTTCCCAGAAAGCTAGTGATGAATTTACCCACCTCATATTATGATTTAGGGACTTATTCTGAACTTCTCTCATTGTCCATAATCATTATTAATTCTGTTTAACATATCTGGAATCTTTTTCTTATTGATCCCACTATCACTTTAGACCTTTGTCATACCTCATCTAGACCACAAAAGACATCCTAATTGTTCTCTTACATGATCTCATAACCACTATCACTCCTGATTTATCTTCCAAACTACTTTGAAAAGCTAAAATCTTGCTAAAATGAGAATCAATATGCTCATACTCAATAATTTTCAGTGATCCCAAATAATAACAACCTGCTCATTCTCTGCAAAACTAGTTTTAAATAATAATTATTTTCTTAAATCCTTTAGAGTTATTACCCTTGAAGCAAAATGGTTATATGCATTTAATTCCAATTAATAACCTGATATTTTCCAAAACTGATGACCAGTTGCTTTTAATAAATAAACAAATGTCTGCTCAACATTGATACTTGCTCCCCAATTGTGCTAAACTTACAGATTGTATATGTGTATGTATATCTTTCTTTCTATCTATATACACACTGTAGAAAATGGTGACTAATTAGGCTGGTAGAATTATTCTCAAACTCTATAAGAAGTCACCATAGGTCTCTCAGTTGCTTGATATCTCTACTTTCAAAGATACCCTTAAACAGTATATAAGCTTTATTATAACAGATAATATACCTGTGTTACATCTTTTATAATTAAGACAATGAAATTCCAGTGTAACGAATAATTTGGGAAAATTTTAAAATATTTTTTAGCTTTTTTCCCTGATACTTAAAGTAAAACACAATATTGTGCTTCAATGTGGCCAACTCTTATTCTCTCCTTTCTCTCACTCCTACCTCCTTGGCATGAAAACAGTTCTCTTCCTATTTTCTAAAGGCAAGGTCTTTGTTCAAAATCTTTGTTCTATATAACTTTTTTTTTTTTTTTGGTAGTACCCAGGAGTGCTCTACCACTCCATCCCTTTTTATTTTTTGAGACAGGATCTCACTTAGTTGCCCAAGCTGGCCTTGAACTTGGCCTTGATCCCCCTGCTTTGGCCATCAGAGTTAGTAGGATTACAGTTGTGTGCCTCCAGGCCTTCTATCTGAAATATTTCACCAGATTTCCTTCCCTGTCTTTCCAAATTCTATACATTCCTTAAGAATAAACTTAAATACCACATTTTCCACAAAATTTCCCTTGGGTAGGTCAGGATACAATGATGTCTCCTTTCACTGAACATTTATAGTACTCACAACAACAATTTATATAGTTGAATGTGTATTATCTTTAGGTCTATATTCAATGTTTCCTTTATCAACCCCCAAAAGATATCAGGCTTCTTAAGGACAAGAATCATTCATTGAGTAGGGTTTCCCTTACCTAGTAAAAAGTATTTAAGAAGTCCACAAACATTTTACACCTGAAAAGACTCTGAATTTGAACAATAAAGATTATGCACTTGGGGCTGAGGTTATGGCTAAGTGGTAGAGCATTCACCTAGCACGTGTGAGGCCCTGGGTTTGATCCTCAGCACCACATAAAAATAAAATAAATAAAATAAAGGTATTGTGTCCAACTACTACTGAAAAATAATAAAATATTTTTTAAAAGATTTTGTGTGCACTGCAAAAGAGACTACTGAACAAAAAGTTTAAAATTTGTACTAAGATACCAAAAATGGTATAGTGAATTATTATATTACGGCTATGTTTAAGAATTGATAATAACCATTTTTATCAAAAGCATAATCTCATGGTAGAATTACATGGATTAAATGAAATATGATCATGAAGGTGAAAGCATATAATACTTCAAAATGGATTATAAAAGGCTTTTTCCCCCTCTTACATCACAGGCTAGAAGCCTGTAGCTAACATGACAGAAGACACAAAATGTTTTCAGGATTGGCAAATGGTAGGATTAAGGTTAATTCAGAGATGGGACTATCAGAAGGATACAAGAGTACTCAGTGTTCAGCAGAAAAGTATGAAGCTGTGGAAAAGCAAGAAGAAAAAATCCTCCCAAGAGACAAAGCAGTCACGAGAACAAGGCTCAGCCTGTGGCTCTGAAGTGTACCCGATAGGGGACATAAAATAGTACCAGTTTAAGAACATGTTACACGTTCTAAAAAGAGCATCTTTTTTGAGCATTTAATTCTTGGTCTTCAGAAAAAAAATTATTTTTCATAGCTTCTCCATTCAATAATCCATTTATTGGCTTAAAGATTTATTTGAATTTGTTATTGTTTTCTTCCTCTTCAAGAACTATATCCTAGCATTCAACTAATGCTTTGATGAGACAGGTCACATATAAATCCTCCTCAAACATTAGAAATAAATATTTAGAAAGTACTTTAACATTTCAAGTCCTTTGGCTCTGGGTTAAAACAGAAGTTTCCAATTCTAATTATTTTTAGGTATTATGTAATAGAAAAATCTTTCCTATTAACCCTATCTACAAGTATGTTTATTGAATGTTAAGTCTGCTGTGCTACATAACATCATACAGCACTATCACTAACATTAATACTTCCTTCATGCCAAAGGTAATTCTAAGTGCTTTATATGTACTAATTTAGGTAACTATCACAACAACCCTTTGAAGCAGGTTCTGAAGGTTAGAGTGATTTCTACCTTCAAAAGATTAGAGGTAGATTGGGAAGAAAAGACATCAAACATAAAAAGATAATGTTATCAAAGTGGAGAACACTTTTCAGGCACAAGCCTGAAATCTCAAGGACTTGTGAGGTTGAGGCAGGAAGATCGCAAGTTCAAGGTCAGCCTCAGCAATGTAGTGAAACTCTGTCTTAAAAGGGGGGGTGGTGGCTGGGGGAGGTATGTGACTCAGTGGTAAAACACTGCTGGGTTCAATCCCCAGCATCATTAAAAAAAAAAAAAAAGTAACTTTTATCAGGCAAAATGCAAAAGGTATTGCCATTTAACCACACAAACACACATACACATTATACACATACTGTCTACATAGACACATTCCAATATATACACATACTGCCTATTCTCCATACAATCTGTAATCAAAAAATTTTTGAGTACTTTTAAGATTAAATATAAAAAAATTAAAAATAAAACCAGAATTAATTAAAAGGAGGAAAGTAATAGTTATTACAAGGCATTTGACTGCTTGCACTGAATTTCTTGGCAGCCCAGGTTAAATAGCTGTAAAGGTTAAATGAGACAGGAAGCTACAGTTATCTACTGGTGGTTAGCAAGATGTGCAACATTTTCATATAGGTCAAAAACCTGTATGGTAGTCATTAAAAAAATCAAGGAATCCTGGCATGGTGGTTTGTGCCTATAGTCCCAGCACTCAGGAGACAGAAGTGGTAGACTACTTGAGACAGGAGTTTGAGACCTGCCTGGGCAACACAGTGAGACATCATCTCAAATAAAGAAAAGTACCATGAAATATTTTGTAATTGCAGATGTTTAATCTGTAGTTCTGTACTTTTCTATAATAGTACCACTGGATTTTTTTCTTATAATAGTAGAAAAATCAGACTATCAACTTCGGCTATTTCATAAACATAAATAAGAATCTGAGAGAAAAAGAATACAATAAATCTGAAATGTAAAGAGTATTGACAAGATCTACACTGGCTGCTTACAACTTCTCTATTATAAGCATTCTTACAAATAACGTCTGTCATACACTCAATATTATTTCTGTCTGGCAATGTCTTATAGTAATGTCACATATTGTTTTTTTTCTTGGCTATTTTTTCTCTGTTCACTTAATTTTATCCATTCATCTGTTGATGGTCACCTAGGCTGGTTCCATTGTTTGGCTCTTGTATATTGTGCTGTGGGAAACAGTATGCATGTGTCACTAATGACAACTTTAATTCTTCAGGATAAATACTGAGGGGTGGAATAGCTAAGTGCTATGGTGATTCCATGCCTAGTCTTTTGAGAAACCTCCATACTGATTTCCATAGTGGTTGTACTAATTTACTATCCCTCCAACAGTGTAAAAGTGTTCCTTTTTCTCCACATCCTCTCCAGCATTTATTATTTTTGTATTCTTGATGACTGTCCTTGGCTATTTTCATTGAACTGATGTTAATTATCCATTCTCAATATGGATAACTCCATACAGACTCACATATGCTTCCTCGCCTGGAATTCTCCCTCCAATATTAACTATATTGTCTACCAGAATTTTACTTCTAGTCTTAAAAATGAAAACACCTCTAGAAACATGCAAGTTCAGAACATCTTATAGGACAACACCATACAGCAACTAGAATTGTGGATGCTGACAGAGTAATTGCTTCACTTCATGCCCTGAGTACTACAGCACAGTCAAAAACCTGTGAGAAGGAGGCATGTACTCAACAGAAAGCATATTTTGGATTTTGATCTTTCCCTGGGATAGAGATACATGGTATGATACCCTTTCACAATGCTGGACATCAGTAGCAGCAAGTCACAGCTCACAGTCATGTGATCAAAAGCGTAAACAACCAATACTCTATAATGTACTGTGTTGCTAACATGATATTCATATGTATTAAATGAATATTTTTTTTTGTACCAGGGATTGTACCCAGGGTACTTAACCACTGAGCTACACCCCTAGCCGTTTTTTAATATTTTATTTAGAGACAGGGTCTTGCTGAGTTGCTTAGGGCTTCACTAAGGTGCTGAGGCTGGCTTTGAACTCATAATCCTCCTGCCTCAGCCTACCAAGCTACTGGGATTACAGGTGTGTGCTATCACGCCCAGCTATTAAATGCATTTATGACAGTGTTATTTTTGACTTAGAATGATTTTATTGAGTGTTATCCTGTGATAAGTTGCAGAGCATCTGTATTTGTTCAGTCACACTGAATTTAATTATGGCTAAATTGCTGAGGCTGGCATTGAATTTATGATCC